ATGATGTTGTGTTTTGAGACGTGTGTGTATGTGTTTTTGGTTAAATTTCTTAATTCTTTATTGTTATTTTTGGGGGATATGTTGACCGAATATTATAATTGCTGCTGCGCGGAGAGTTATTATTTGGGTGTTTCTCTACTTTGTTTTGGTTATTTTGATATTGAAAAATTTTAAAGGTTTTGGAAGATATTCCATGCTATGAATATAGTTACAAAATGGACACAGTGGTTTATTGAAATTTATAAGTGAAAATGTGACCTTAAAATCTGAAATTTTAAACAAAAACTATATGATAATGAACAGTTGGGACTATATCGTAAGCAAATTGTTTACAATAATGGTCAACATTAAACTTAAATCCTGGATGAACATGTAATAATCAATTCTGTGTCAATGAATCATATTCAATCAGAGATAGCGGTAGCGTATAAGAACAGCAAAATAAAGAGTCAACCGAACAAATAACAACGAACACTAATTCCTCCTTCTAATCACATGTAAAATGCTTTCCAGTGTGTAAATTATATTATTGGATCTTATCAATCCGGCTTCAGATCTGGCGAATCCACTATAGACCCGATTTTTACACTGCGCTAAATACGGGAAATGATTTGGCATTCCTTCAAAATTAATACGGCTATGCAGGATAACTTTAACTGGCACAAAGTCTGCAGTTAAATTCGGTAAGGACCTCCGTAGCACTTCAATACCGAACGAGGATTCAGACATGACAGTTTATCGTGTGAACTTTTTAACAAATGTGAACAGAAATGACGCTCTGTATACCAAACAGCACTTGTTACTCGGCTACGCAGATGAGGCAGATCTTAGAGTATTTAAGAGAACAATTCTCTGAAAGATCTGTGGGCCGATCTGCGCCGTCGAATGAACCATGAGTTGTACTATCTACTTTCGGACTATGACGTAGTCAGACGTATCGAACTGCAACGACTACGTTGGCTAGGTCATTCGAATTCGATGGAAAGATCAAGTGGAAGACAACATTGTCGAACATGGCCTTTCAAATTGGAAGAACAGCGCAAAAGACCGACGCTCCTGGAAATTTTTTATTATGCTCGGCTTATGGAACAAATGTTCTGTCACAAGCCATCTAAATAAGTAACTTATTTAACGTCTCTGCATCGGTTCGGACCTAAGATCCATGACTCAATGGCACCAGATGTAAAACAGTTTCTTCCAATATAAATCATCAGCGTCAAACAGTGTTATTTGGGTTTATGGAAAAAGTAGCCGAACTAACTAACCACTGTTAGTCGTTCTCTTGATAAGATGCGGAAGTTTTACGTACCCATCGAGCTGAGGTTGTTTCACAATCAAACACGACAAGACAAGATACCTAACAACCAACAAAGTTCTTCCCAAAACCAAAGAACACACGGTCGGATTTACGTCAATGAGTAATAAACTTGCTCCCTGCATCGATTTCAAAGGAACTTTTAAAAATATTACCACGGAAAAACTTAGCCGACGTTTATAAGCCCTCTCGAACCTTTCGTACTGTATAAGCTAAATTATGGGTATGCTGAAACCTCAAATATCCGCATTTATTTACGTTTACATCCCAAATTACAGTCTTCTCACCAAAAATTGTAAGAAGGCTGAATTATATACAAATTTGTGCATTGTATATATAGGATCAAGTTTTAATACCAGTGAGCGGAGCAGTATACACAACCACTACGAAATTCTAACTTTCTATATTCTGAGCCTGGGCAATATTTCCCGATATTTGCACCCTCTTGACCGACTAGGTCAACAGGTCCACTTTCTAATCCTGGCATATTTTCCAAATCTTGTTTTCAGTTTTGGTTGATTTGACTCCCGGAATATTGACCTATCATTATCTAAATAGCCGTTCTATGTATTTGGTCAGAACCCCCTTCGCGGCGTAAAATATGTGACGTTCTGCATATAATAATGGCCTCTAGAGAAACTAGAAAATCTGACAAAAATAAAGTTTTCGGTTCATTGCACCCCCTTATTATCATTTCAACATCACCGAAATATAAAGGCGTCGTCCTATACCATAACTGGAACTTCATGTAAAAGAAAAACAGAGAAAATTAGTTTTTGGTCCATTTCATCCCTAAAATATTAACGGATCATTATCAAAAACAATAAGTGGTCTTCTTTGACCAGAACCGATCCTACAAGCAAAATTTCGCGACGATTGGTCCATAATTGTGGCCTGCACCATGTTTAAAATTTTTAATGGGCGGAAATAAATGTCTTGATCGATTTAGCTAGTCGAGATATGACGATCGGTATACTAAAAAGTGGATATAGGACCAATATTTCGCTGCGTTGCAAACTTTTGGGACTACACAGAGCTATTATACCCTGACAACAATGTTGTGTAGGTTATAATTATCATTATTGGTTCACATTTTAGGGAAGCCCCATATGTTGGTACTCCCAATATCCGTTAATTTGAACCTTTTTGGAACGTTTTTCAAATGGCTCTAATTATAACCGTCACCACTCTGTGATACAGGGTATTATGTCTTTGAGCAAATGTTGGTAACAGGCAAAAGGAAAAGAGATTGACAATATGCATAGAATCACTTTCTGAGTCGATTTATACCTGTCCGTCTGCCCATACTAAATTGTAAACAAAGTACAGGTCGCATTTATCATCCCAATGAGATGGATTTTGGCACAGCCAAGGGCAAGCCCTATTGAATTTGGAGAAGATCGGTTCAGATTTTGATATAGCTTTATTCGATTCCACAATAGTTCACCTAAGTCACAATATTTGCCGATTGAGACAAATTTTTGCACAGCGTATTGAATTAAGAACATATTGGCGTACGTGAAGTTTTCTTGAAATCGGTTCAGATTAAATATAGCTTCCAAACTCCCAAGATTTATCCGATTGAGGTGGAATTTTACATAACGTATTGATTTGAGTCCAAAAAAATATGAATTTTTATTGAGGTCGGAAAAGATAGGCATATACATCCCAATTTAGATTAGGCGAGTTTACTTGCCTCAAGTCTTTGTTTGTTGGAGAGAGGGGCAAGGGGATAGAAATGGAAAAAAATTGCTCGTACCGACAATTTTCTGGCAATTCGTTTTGTGTATTTTGTTTGTAGTGTCATTTCACAAAAAATAATTCAATTCAGAATATATACATATGTATGTTTGCAACCGAATTGCCTTGTATAGACGCATGAAGCAAGTTCAAAAGAGAACGATAAGAATTGCCGCAAATAAACTCGCCTAATATAAATCAGGACTACCTGTCACATATATATTCGTCCGATTTTATATAAATGGGGTACTAAACTCCGAATGTTTGTCCGAGTGATACGAAATTTTGCATAACGTATTAAACTGAGAATAACGTGTGTTAAGTGTGTGTTAAGAAATCGGATTTTGATACAGTTCCCATACATCCGATATTATGAAAACTGCACACCAAAACACCAAGGTTTGTCCGATAGAGACGAAATTTTATATATCACATTGAGTTGAGACCAAAAAAGTGTGTGAAGTTTTATACATATTTTCGTCTAAATGGTGCACCAAATACCCAAATTTGACCGATTGCGAAGTTGTATGCAGCGTAGATACACTTTAACAATGAAGTGTATTAAGTTTCGTTTAATTCTTTTCAGATTTAGATGTAACTTCTATATATTTTCGTCCGATTTCATGAATTTGTGCCCTTAAAACCCAACGTTTGTTCGATTCAGACAGCGCGCTTTGCTGTAAAATTTGCTTCAAATCGGTACAGATTTACATATTGTTCTCATACATAGTTCTGCTCGATTGCATACAGATGGTGTACCACGATTGTCATGAAATTTTCCGTAGATCAGAATGTAGATTACATATTTAATTTAGCCCGATGGTATTGTTATTATTGGATTTTGTTCAAATGAGCATCTCTATATATATCCAAAGTGGTCCCGTCCGACTTTTGAATTTTCCCCACTGGTTTGAATATTAAAATCGCATTTTCACATCAAAATTCCTGTAATTTAGCTTCCAGGTTCATGAAAGGTGAATAACATTTTTGCAGAAAATATTCGATATCGGGTCATGTTTTGGAATTGAGCTCCCTTTTTGGACTTTTCTCACCAAATTGGTTGCAATTTGAACCTTCTGAAAAGGTGGGAAACACTTTTAAATATCACTTTTGATATAGGTACATGTTTTGGATTAGGTCCCACACAAATGTTCTCAGCTTCGAACTGGACGTAGTTTGACAATTGGGGTTCTCGTAGGGTGAAAACGCCCGGTCTAACATAACCTGAACTTAAGTCCAGAATTTACTATTTAATACTTCTTACGCTTCAGTACAAGCCCTTAAATTTTTGTGGGGAAGATACTGAAGAAGTGGATTGAGTGGCCACATCTATGGACTTGATGTAGATTTGCCAAAAGTATTACGTAGTAGCAGAAAATTTTGTTTCTTCAGGAACGGCCACGGCAATGCCGAACCACACCCAATTTGCAAATGTAATATTAGAGCAAACCCTATTGTTTGCTCACAATTATCAAAGGTTACGCATCCATAAATTTCACACCACTGTGCAAAGTTTCAACAGCAACGATAATGACGATGATCATTAAAAGAAAAACACAAAGAAAGACGAAAGGTCCGAACAATATATCAATATGAAATGAAAAAAAAATATACATATTTTGTTGTTACGTTGTTATTGTTTTTGTTGCTGGTAAAAGCGAAAACAAATGAATTTTTGTTTCGAGGGGGTAGCATTGGTTTTACTTTCATTTTTTGTCTTCTACTCTTCAGCCGCTTCTCCTTCGGCGCGGCGGTGCGTTTACCGTGTTTGTGCATAATTTTCGGTTACGGTCGAACCTCAAGACATCGTCGTCGCTGATGCTGATGATGGTGGTGGTACTGTTGTTGCTGCTGCCGATACCGTCGATGATGATGATGATGGCAAAGATTATCATGATGATGTTGTTGATGATGGGCAAGCGAAAAAAACCTATAAAAGGCCAATGTGAAACCTTGCTTTTACTCAGTTAATTGATTTAAACCGTGGTGGGAGTAGAACCGAAGGTATATCCGAAATATACTATCATAAAAATGAGTTGCAAGCTCTCGTTGGCTATTTTTGCGGTCATTTGCTTTGCTGTCAGCATTGAAGCTGCCTCGGTGGGTGTTCCCGTGATCAAGGGTATCGAAAACGTCGTGCACAAATTGGATTATGAAGGAGTACAGGCGAATGTACGCGGTTCCCGCCAAGCTTATGAAGAAGATGTCTCTGGTGAAGATTCTGACGAAGATGACGATGAGGATGATGCCGAACGTGTACAACAGAATATAATTCAGCAACAACAGGCCCAAGAACAGGCACACAATGACTCCCAGGAGGGCAGTGATGAGGATGACGAAGAGGATGATGAGGAAGAAGATGATGACGATGATTCATCGTTCTTTGGACGTAGAAGGAGACGTGATGTTGCCGAAGAAGAAGCTGACGTTGAATCGGTAGCAGCCAATGAAATTGTTGAAAGTGAAAAACCTGAAGAAGATGGAGTCAAGGAAGAGAGTGCTGCTCCAGCTGCTCCTGCACCCAGTCCAGCTCCATCCTCCAGCAATACCAACGTTTTAATACTCATTCGAGATGCCATCAAGAAGGTCACAACCGAATTGCCCAACTCACAACAAGTTGCTACCAGTGCCCAACAATATTTCCAACTTTTCGGTCATTTCCTTCAACAAACCATTGAACAAGTCATCGGAGACGACGATGATGAGGATGAAGTAGAAGCCACAACTGTCATCCCAGAGGCCGAAGAAGTTGCTACTGTTGTAGAAACCGATAAGGAAAGTTCGACAAAAGATAAAGAAACTGCTGTGACTGCCGAGAAAGAAAGCGAATCGGTTGAAAATAAACCAGTTACCACCGCCGATCAAACTCCAGCACAAACTGAAGAGGCTAAGGCTTAATTTTTTGTTGAGCCCTTTTTTGTGATTAGTTAGTTATAGGGAAAACAAATTAAATGCCACACTATTTATTTATTTATTTATTGAAAATTTAGCTTAATAAAATATTTTGTAAAAAAATATTTGTTCGTAAAAAAATTAAGAATTATAACCTTGTTACAGTTGTTAAAAAGGGAGCCATAAACTCCCACCATCTAGGGAGAATGGCTAAAATATTTCCATTCTATGGAAACTAAAAAATGTTTTTAATATTCTGTGTGTCTGTGCTATTTTTGGTGCTTACCTTCCATGGGCGATCTTTACCACATGGGGAACATATTATTTTAAGTCAGAAAATTTAAAACAGTTCATTTTGGAATTCGTACACATTCCTTGGAATGGAGTGGAAGATGAAATGAACCAAATACTAAATTTTTGTCGGTTTTTCTGGTCGCTCCAGAGGCCGCAATTATGGCCCGAACATCTCGAATTTTTACATGGAGAAGGGAATCAGGCCAAAGAATAGGCATGCCTGTTTTGATAAAGATCGGTCAATATTTAGCGGGTCAAATGGACCCTGACTTTTGTGTGAAAAATGACAAAAGTTGTAATCTATGTCGTATATATTTACTCCTGAAGGACATAGAACCGAGAAGTTGATAGTATATCCAAGTTGATCTTTAAATTGATACCAATTATATTGTCGTATGTCCTCGGATTTGGGAGTTACACTTAAATATTTACTGGTACTTATGTACCAGTAAATATAGTACCACACTAGAGGGCAAAAATATAGCGCTGATCGCTTTGAAATGCTCTATGAGGGTCCAGTTATGGTCAAGGATAACGCCTAAAATTTTCGGTGATGATCAGATAATAATTTTGGGATGAAATGGACCGAAAATTTTTTGTTTGTTTTTTTTCGAGTCGATCTATATGCCACAATTATAAGTCGAATATCACAACATAACCCACGGTGAACGGAATCTGGACAAGTAATTAGAAGGAATGTACTGAATATAAGTAATATTCGGAAAATAGGTCAGTATAAGGAAGAGGTGCTGTTGTCCTCTAATCGGGAAAGAGGCTGCAACTATGACTAAATATTGCCCATGCTCGGAATAAAAATCCGCAGAAAGTTAGAGTTCCGTGGTAGTTGTGTATGGTATCATATGGCCGGCCTCGTCCGACTATACTGCTCCGCTCACTGATTTTATTGTATATTTGAGGGGTACTGTTATGTGTCAAAACGTGAAGGAGGAGGAACTTCCCTGCTCAGTGACAATACAAAATTATTGTCAATCGGGCGGCATTGTTAAATAGGAGAAATATCAAGACTCGAACCACATTTAATAATTTCTGCAATTAATTCTCCTGAATTGAGACCGAGTAATGACAAAACATCATGATACCTTTAGGTTTTTTGCAGAGAGGTAGGGCCAATCCTTAATAGGACACATATGTTAAAACTCCACATTTATTTAAAGCCTACTAGAACACGCGAATGTGTACAGGTGGAACCACAATGGGCGAAAAAAATACTATGTAAGGCACAAAGTGTGTTTTTGTTTAGGTTATTTTAAAATATTTTTAAAACAGTAAAATACATTAAAAACAACTAAAAACGTCGCTAAGTTCCACGGGGCCGCTCCACCATTAAGTGGACATTTAAATATACCAGTAATCGTTCGGGACCTTCATAAATGTCGGGATATGCCATGGTAAGTTTTTGGTAAGAACATCCATTGAGAATCAAATTAGAAAAAATTCAGTTAAAAAACGTGCCCAAATAACTGAATAATGGGCTATCATTAGATCGATATCGTAAATTTTTGGAACGGAGTTTGGCCGACCAATTGAAATTCAAAATTCTAAGTTACAGAAAATTCGGTTAAAAAGCGTGCCTAAACTCTTCAAAATACCTAATATCATTATATGGGAAATAAGCAAAAAAAGTAGATCAATTGTAGAAATTTAATAGAAAAGATAAATTATAGTCAAGTTGATTGAAAAACGTACCCCAACCTCGCAAAATACCAAATAATGGGGTTACCGTTATATAGGAGCTATTCTATGAAGTGAACCTATATCGATAATTTTTGGTATTGAGTATTGAAAATGTAGCGAAATTTTCCAAAATATTGATTATTTGAAGGTACCGTTATATTTTCAATACCAACCATATAAGGAGTAGTAAAAATGTATGTGAAAAATTTCAATGATCTATCTTAATTATTACGACTAACCATAATAAAGAACTGGTTTAACATGCTGGGCGGTAGATGTTTTTGTACCTCCCAAGCAGATATTGCAGTGTTGATACACATGACTATCGGAGTTATGAGGAGGTACTCTATTGCAGTCTTCCGGGCAGCATTTTTGCAAGATGCATAGCACAAGTCCCTACGGAAGCCGCATAGATTAACAGAGACCGGCTTATCGCGTTATAGGCCGTCAAAAATATTTATTTATCATATTCTGAGCTCATCGCAGGTGGTTGTGGCGTGTATGGACGAGCTTATCGAATGCGAACCTTGGGGTCGTAATAATGGTCTCATCACCGATATGGTAAACAGTGTAATCGTTGACATCGTCGCGGATATTTTCTTATTCCTCATACGGAAATCTGCTTTGCCAACGATTTAGGTATTGGAATGACATTAATAATTGGCACCGACTTCATGGTCGTACAATCGTTCACGTATGTAATAATCTCAATGCCGTCCGGCGCAATTGGAATACCAGATAGGTAGAGGTTAAACAAATCCGGAGACTGGAAGGGAGCTTATTCGACTTCCTCGAACAGCTTGACATTATGAAATAATAAATAAATCAAGCGCAATCATACAATTGTTGTTGTTTAGATTATTCGCTACCCTAACATCAGAAGGTTTAGGCAGTTCAGTTGGGCCCATTGGCTATTATTTGGTTAGAAAATACTCCGTTCAGAGATTTTGAAGTTCCTTCATCCTAAACAATTTAATATATACAGCTATTCACCATGGGCTTGAGGTTTCGAGTTAATTTAGTAAGACAGAAATTAGGTGACTGGCGTGTTTACGTATTGGGACAAACATTTCCTGGAAAAGTTCTTACCCCCACGAAATGTCATATAAATATATATTTGTTATGCAAAAAAAAGCCTTTTTAGAGGACTGATTTAGATTAAACATTTGTTTGTAGGAGAGAAAGGGGTATAGAAATGAAAAAAAAATTGCTCGTACCGACAATTTTCTGGCAATTCGTTTTGTGTATTTTGTTTGTAGTGTCATTTCACAAAAAATAATTCAATATATATACATATGTATGTTTGTAACCGAATTGCCAAATGAAGCAAGTTCAAAAGAGAACGATAAAAATTGCCGCAAATAAACTCGCCTAATATAAATCAAGACTTAATTTATGAAATCGATTTTTATTTTGATATAGCTCCAAGTTGAGTCTACAATTAAGTTTATTAAATTTACTATATATATATATGCAATTTCGTCTGAAATAAGTAAATTGTGAACCAAATTAGCAATGTTCCTACGATTGAGATGCAATTTTTGATAGCGCATTATGCTTTAACGACTCATTTATAAATCCATTATCATGCGAATGGAATGTCCTATTTGAACCAAACTAGATCAAGTCCGAAGATGGGACCTATTGAACCACTCCTTCTGATACCTCCGCCACGAAATGGTCAAAATGTTAAATATTTATAACCTTCACCACACTGTAGTACAGGCTTATTATGTTTTGGTGCATATGTTTGTAACAGACAAAAAGTAACGGGATAGACACACATACACGTTTATCCGATCGAGCATCCTCCAAAGATGCTATATATGTTCTGTCTAGATGATATTTCATATACAGTCGAGTACGCATACAACGAACACCGTTTATAAAGAACTTTCTTTATATCGAACACATTTCCTGGATATATCGAACTTTTTTATAACATACTTTTTATTCGGTCCTACCTTTCAATTTTCATTTATTTTCATTCGGTTATAACAAACTTGCTATAAATATACAAAATGCTCTAAAATTAATTTATAGCTAACGCTGGCAACCTTCACAAAAAATCTCAGGTTCATCAAAGGAAAAAGAGAAGCAGCTACAGTATTGCCAAAAAGGACACAAAATTACATATTTTAGTACTTTATATATTATTTTCTGCTAATCCTTGGATTTGCCTAACCTTAAACATCATATAGTAGGCTCCGTCCGACTTTCGAACTTTCTTTACTGGATTTTATTGCGGCAGTCAAGTTTGTGTCGGATGATAATTTTTTAACAGATCTTCACGAAGAAGATAGTGAACAAGCCCATAACATTTGCCTGAACATGGGATTGGGTCTTGCGTATGATCGGTGCTTCCAAAGAAGTATTCAAAAATGTTGGCAAGCAAATTTAAAATCCGTTCAAACAAAAAAATCAACCAACATCAATTGTTAATGGAATCTACGAAACTAAAATTGCACATAATTGTCTATTGCAGTATCAAGAACCATAAACACCATTCACAATTTTAGCCGCGTGGCTTGCATTTTCGACTTTGTCAAAGAAAAACTGTAAAATGTACCGAAATTTCTCTTTGTTCACTTCCATTATTAACAACCTGTAAATCACAACTGAATGCACCAAACAAAAACCTACAAACGAGCATAAATCTGAAACTATCGATTCTTTATGAGAAATCTATCAGTACAGCCATCTACCGAAAAAATAATGGATTTCTTTCTCCCCAACCTAATATTTTGTTTATATCTCGTATTTGAACCCCGTTGAACCTAACTTGACAACTGAAAATCTACACTAAATTCTATCAACTGATTCAATTTCATGTTGAGTGGACATAGTCCATATTCTTTTGTGTATAATTTGTGGGAAAAGAGAGGGAATTTTAGTTAGTGGCATATATCTAAAATTTAATTAGGTAACACAGATTTGAATTGGACCGCCAAGGGCAAGATAAACCGTGCAATATTTATCGCTAAGCCACATTTGTGTGTATTTGATTTTCAATAATTAATAAACGCTAAATCGACTCAGAAACTGATTCAAAGTAGATAATCAAAATTAAGTGTAAAACAAAAAACATAATGGGGGATTCTCAAATTTGGGAAGAAATTTTCTAGACGATTCTAAAGAAGTAGAAATATGTATCGGATAAATCATTAGAAATTTATCTAAATTCAAAATTTTTTAATCGATTAATTTTAAGGGGCAAAATTCAGTTGATGAGCGTATGAATGTATGAATATTCAATGAAGACACTGGGCGTGTTTACACCGAACAACTAAACCGGTAAAACGCTCATGGCGGTTAGTTTTTTCGATTTGTTTAATGTTGAATTTTTGTGTGAATGTTACAAAATGGTCATAAAAACTCATTTCTATTTTTTTAATTTGCAATAAAAAATCGAATTTCACTTTGATTTGAAATTGACGAAAAATTAAAAGCAGGCCTTTAACGTAGAGATTTGAGAGATAAGCGATTTCATAGAGATGGGGTCGGTTATGATCTATAAAAGTTAATGCAGTTTTCAAAACGCATATTCGAAATACAATTTTGAGACTGACTATAAATTCGGAGTGTATGACAAATGTGAGTGACAGTTTGTTTAGTAAACATGAAGTTGACAGTTATTACAATTTTTGTGGGGTTATTTGTTTGCTTGGAATTGTGTTCCGCCAGAGTGGTGGATCGTTTGGATCGCACGGAAATTGGCACTCCAGCAAAATTGAAAATACCAACGGTGCAGGGTCGCCAGGCATATGCCGAAGATGATTACTATGAGGAGGAAGAGGATGATGAGGAAGAAGAGGAGTTACAGCAATCACTGTTGCAGGATAATATAGCGGCTGGTGGCCATGGAGGTGATGGTGGTGGTTATGATGAAGGTGAAGAAGATGATAATGAGGAGGATGATGGTGATAACGAAGAAGAAGAGGAAGATGATGACCAAGGTGAACAACGTTTTATGGAAGATAGACGATTCCTGAAAGCGGTCTATGATATTTTATAGTTTAGGGAAATAAATTATTAAATTAAATTATTTATTTTTAAAAATTAAGTAAATAAAAAATTATTAAATTAAATTATCTATTTTTTAATATTTATGTAAATAAATTATAAGAATTAAAATAAATTAAATAAACATATTTTGTAAATATCCTTAAATCTCCCTTTCAAATTCTGCAACTTCGTGACGTTTATTTCTGGCATAGATTTTGGTACGTAAATTACTGCGATGACGATTTGTTTCCCTGGGTGGTGGTGAAGCATAATGGACTTTCTTAATTAGAGGAGGTGTAATCACCTCCTTATTATTCATTTCCAAAGGGATTTTATTACCACCTATGGACAATGAAATGGGCAGTGTCGAATGGGAGTTGATCACAATGGGTATTGTCAAATAAATTGGCCTTTCAGGTTATAAATATAATTCAGGAGCTATTTTTGGGGAGGTGTTCAATTTTTCTTCCACCTCTTTAACTGGCTCCTTTTCCTAAAAAATAAATAAAATCAATATTATGTTCTCAATTCTCTCTTGTATCCTTTTGTGTTTCAAACTCACCTCTTCACTGTTAATGGCAAAACTTTTTAGAAAATTCAATGGTATAGCATCTTCATGATTGATCTCATGAAATTCCTCATGTGTCAAATCGGGATAACGATGTTGCAACGACCAAAAGCTATCATTGAAATCATTCCAAGAACCACTTTGATTTTCTGTATCTTCGGCATTTTTCTTATTTTCCATATCTTTTTTGTTTTTATTATTTTCTTCTGTGGTCAGTTCCTTGTCATCCTTATTATCTTGTTCTACATTTTCTGCACTTTTTCCTTGAATTTTGGAATCGGGGGTTTCAATTTTGTTTTCCGCCTCTTTATCTTCTTTTTCCATAGTTTTTTTGGTTAGGCTTTCAATTAATGCCTCCGCTTCAGCGACAGTTTTATTTTCAGTCATTGGCACGCCCATTTCGTTTTTAGTTTCCATGGCTGGATTTTTATCCTCTGCTGGCTGCATTTCCGTGGGCATGGCCATACAGCCTATGACTACACAAAGGAATACTGAAAATAAAGAAAAAAAAATTAATTTAGAAATAAAACCAAGGATAATTTTGATTTAATTTTGACTGAGGGTCCACATTTGTCAATTATAAAGATGACTTTTAAAGTAGGGCAGAATGAGTTACGAACTTTTAAAACTCATCATCCACATCACATTAAAAATGCCTAAAAAAGGTTGGGACTTTTATTTTGAGGCTATGTTATTGTAAATTATCAGTAGAAGGTTGGAAAATCAGGAACTTTAACATGCCGAAAATTACACAAAACTATTATATGACGGCTATTAAAAACATGTATCTTTTTTAGAAATTTCTGGGAAGTAGTAATTTATTGACCAGGAATCTAAAATGTAAAAATTCAGTCACTTCGATGGGAAAATCCAACTAAAATCTGCAAAATAGCAAAAATATGACAGATCCTTCTTGGTATTGGTTTTATGTCATTTATTGGTTCTATGAAAAATAACGAAAATGGAGCGGGGACCTTAATGCGGGGATTATGTCAAATCATGAATTAAATCGAAATACTTCAATGTCAAAATACCGACATTTTGGCAGTCAAACGGACAGTAATGTTGGTATATATGGGAGCTATATCTAAATCTGCACCGATTTCCACGAAATTTAGCACACATCATGCTAGTCTTAATTCAGTAACCCAGGTGAAATTTCGTACAAATCGAGAGATATATAGGGATTTTGCTACACTATTAAATAGGACGAAAATATATGTGGGAGCTATATCTAAATCTGAACCGATTTTCACGAAATTTAACACACATCATTCTAGACATAATTCAGTAACCCAGGTGAAATTACGGGCAAATCGAGAGATATATAGGGACTTTGGAACACCATTAATATTAAATCGGATGAAAACATATACATGGTAGCTATATCCTAAATCATTACTAAATTTGGTGCAAATCGGAAGATATATAGGACCGTTTACATTAAATCGGACGAATATATATATATATATATATATATGGGAGATATATCTAAATCTGAACCGATTTTTCTAAATTCCAATAGGGTTCGTCCTTGGACCAAATAAATGACCTATGTCAAATTTCATCCAATTCGGATCATAAACATGGGCAGACAAACGGGCAGACGGACGGACATGCATAAATCAACTTAGAAAGTGGTTCTATGCATAGTGATTCTATTCAAAAAGAACAAACATATTCACAAAGACATAATACCACAGTGTGGTGAAGGGTATAATAAACGTCAACATGGCGTCCGATACACTTCTACCTTACCCACTAAATGTCAAAATACAGGCGACAAGACATGACCTTATAGGGGTTCTACACTAAAGCATGAACCCCTATATTGTAACAATTTTCCAAAACGGTTTCACCCATTATGTTAAGTTTTGTATTTTAGGTTTGGAAATCATGACCGATTTTAAAAGAAGATTGGTGAGCTAATTCTTGATTGGTTTCAATGCTGAGCCTTCGGTGTACGTAGTACCTCCACATGTGAAATTTTCATCACCAATCAACTAAAAACATCTCTTGATTGTTGTCCAGCGCCTTGGCGTTCAAATCCACAACCTTATTTGAATACCACGGAAGAAAAATGTTGTAGGTTGTATAGAAAAAAAATCCGTCACTACAAGAAAAATCTGCTCTGAAAGGGGATGTTTTGGTGTGGTGCCCCCTCTGAGGACAGTGGGCCTATTAGTCCCAACTTAGGATGCATTTCGGCCTATATATGGGATGGTTCTCGCAAGACTATGGAGAATATGCTTTTTATACCAGAGTAATTAAAGTTTGTCCTCCTAATCAGGGCAAACAGACGCGGAAAGTGGAAGATAGAAGATGACAGTTGTGAGTCCATTCTAACAATGAATTGGCAGGTATCAGCTGAGATAGATGTTAATACCAAACGTGCCAAAACTACGGAAGTAATGGACAAGAAACCGCATTGGAGGACAATGGAAATTTCCACCCGATTATTTGACAAAGGCACCGATACAGTCTTTGATAATGAAGTCTACTTGATCAAGAAGAATCTTATATTGCAGAAATCGTTTACAGCATCCATGACACTAATATGTAAATACATTGGCTTTTATTGAAAATGTTCCGTTAAAAGAGTTGTTACCCACAAGTATCCTGGAATGCCTAATTACAGTCACTCCGTAATGCTAACATATATTCACTTCGGTTGGGACATTGGCATAGGATCATCAAAACTATAAAAAGGTTCGTAAAGTTTTAAAAATAACATAATGGAAAAAATAAGAAATAAAACGTTTTTTGTTACTGTCCACAACCAATACGTTGGGCGCCAACATTGTCAATATTAATGTTAGAAAACAACCGTTATTACACGTCTGTTATTATTTATTATATTTTTTTCTATACACTTCTAGTTTCAGACTTCAATAAAATTAAGAATAACAGCATAATTTATTTATACAGTAGACCACGGATATAAGAACATCCAAAAAATAGAGAAATTTGTTCTTTAAGCGGGTTTTTCTTAATGTATTTTATATAACAAACTGTTTTCATTTATGGATGAAACATTTTCCGTGTTTTTCTTATATAAGATGTTCTTATATCCGTGGTCTACTGTATATCACTTTAATAGTTTCAGTTAGTTTTCGCTGATACAATTCATATTTTTATTTTCTTTTTGCATTCTAGTGCGTCACAATTTATATAGTCACGTCACTATTTAAACATCACAATCAATTTTTTTTCGCCAATTCGATAACTCATTTTGTAATATTTGAAATTTCACCATTTTAATTAGTTATAATTAACACATTTCTTGAGCAATTGTTAATTTAAAAAAAGTTTATATATAATATTTGTGTTTGCTCGTACCTAATCCGCAGTATTTCGATTTCATTTTGTGCCAAAATTTTATTTACCACTAAAGAAAGTTCGTTAAAATCTCTAATATTTATAGATTGTTGACCGACCGATTAGCAGCAGATGTCATGCCAATTTGTATTCACTTTCGATTTCTGATGATAATGATATTTGTTTGTCGCCATAGACCAACCAACCAACTAATATACATATCTATATTATAAATGTAAAATACAAATTATGTTTTATGCATAATTTTGGAAATATTAGCAAACGTGGTGTTGTTGAGGTACTATAATGATTTGTAACTACTTGTGTTTGATTAATCATTCGTTGGGGGATGGCTTAAAGTTTAATGACCTCTTCGTTTGGTGGATTGATTTGATAGAGATGAAAGTGTTTTGGTATATATTTTTTGTTAAAGCGCACGATTTTATTATCATATCCTAATTTATTTATAACATAGATGAATAACCAAGACGGAGATATATGGCATACTTTAATAAGACAAGTAACAAGTGTTAGTCTTGTGACCGACAGACCGGATGAGGTTGCCGCATAGACTTCATCTTTGGTAGGTTTGAAACAATATTTCTATTTAAAAATTTTGGATCAAATCTGACATTTCATTATCATGATATTGGATTAACAAACATTCAAAATGTGGAGAGGGTACCAGAAAGAGTGAACCCACGGGTCCCATATTCAAGCTTGATCTATGTAAGGTAAATATATTACAATGTGCAATGTTTGAATGAAATTAGATTTTTATACCCTACACAACTATGTTGTCAGGGAATTATAGCTTTGTGCAGCCCCAAAAGTTTGTAACGCCGCGAAATATTGATCCTAGACCCACCTTTAAGTATACCGATCGTTATATCTCGACTAGCTGAGTCGATCTAGACATGTGTGTCCGTCCGTCCGTCTGCCCATTATAATTTGTAAACACGATACAGGCCACAGTTATGGACCAATCTTCACGAAGTTTTGCATGTAGGATGGGTTCTGGCCAATGAAGACCCCTATTGTTTTTGGAAAAGATCGGTTAATATTTAGGGGATGAAATGAACCAAAAAATTTATTTTTGTCGGTTTTTCTGGTCGCTCCAGAGGCCGCAAAAATGGCCTGAACATCGTGAAATTTTCCATGGAGAAGGGGATCGGGCCAAAGAATAAGCATGCCTGTTTTCATAAAGATCGGGCAATATTTAGCGGGTCAAATGGGCCCTGACTTTTGTGTGAAAAATGACAAAATTTGTATTCTATAGCGTATATATTTACCCCTGAAGGACATAGACCCGAGAAGTTTATATTATATCAAAGAGGAGTGTTTGACCTTTAATAAGGATTTTATTGTTGTATGTGCTCGGATGTGGGAGTTACAAATAAATATTTACAGGTATCTCCGTATTCGTATATTATTTAGTAACCCATTATAACTCTAGAGAGCGGAATATAATTTTGGAATGAAGTGGACCGAAAACTTAATTTTTTGTGTTCTTTTCGAGTCGATCTATAGACCATAAATGAAAGCCGAACATCACAACACAACCCTCGGTGAAGGGAATCTGGACAAAAGCTGTACTGAATACTCATAATATTCGGAAAATTTGTCAGTGTGAGGAAGAGGTGCTGTATCACGAAATATTGCCCAGGCTCAGAATATACATTCGCAGAAAATTTGAGTTCCGTGGTAGTTGTGTAGGGTATCGTATGGTCGGCCCCGTCCGACTATACTGCACCGCTCACTGGTTCATAATACGCTAGTTTTCATAATCTTGACCACTGTGTGTGGGAGGTATCTGAGTGTACCGATAAGTCCCATCATCGAACATTATATATACATTGTTAAAATATTAGGTTGAGCAAAGTTTATTAAGCCTCAACTCGGACAATTCATAACATTGTTATTGGAAAGTTTGGATCAAAAAAAAAAAAAAATTCCGTACTTTTTACAAAGTTTAAACATTTTTGTGGGGGAAGTAATAGAAGGAGTGGATAATATACAAGCATTGTTAAAATATTAGGTTGTGAAAAGTTTGGTTTGAATCTAATGCTCTGTAATGGTCTGATATTATAAAATGCATTTTCAGTTAAATGTTGACACTTTAATGGTAGAAGTACTCGAAGGAGTGGACCGATTTTCCCCATGTTCAAACTTAATTTGAGTTTGAAAGAAATTTTACGATGTACACCGTTTTGATCAAATTTGACATTGCATTAGTCTAATATTGGATTTATAAGTATTGGAAATGTGTACCCTTTGTGGAGAGGTACCAGAAGGAGAGGACCAATGGGTCCCATCTTCCGAATTGACCTAGGATTATATAAATTTGCTTTGGTACACCATTTATATAAACCCGGACGGAATTATATATGGGAAATATATCTAAATCTGAACCGAATTTCCTTTATTTCAATAGGGTTCGTCCTTGGACTAACTAAATAAACTGTGCCAAATTTCATTCAATTCGGATCATAAATGCGACCTGTACTTTGTTTAAAATTTAACATGGACAGATAGACGGACGGACATACATAAACCGACTCAGAAAATGATTCTATTCATATTCGCAAAATGAACCATGTGCCAATTTCGTTCCCTTTTGCCTGTTACAAACATATGCACACAGACATAATACCCTGTACCACAGTGTGGTGAAGGGTATAAAAACCCAGCAAGGAAAGTAGTAATGTTGGACGGGGTCGACTATATGATACCCTTTACCAGTTTGGGTTTATTCAAGAGATGCATCCTAATAGACCTCGAAACATTGACATGAAATTGGACTAAAGTAAATATGTGATCAGCGAATATATGTAAACAGACTTAGCCCTACGATCTATAACCGGGTACATTTTTATACCCTCCACCATGGTATGGAGTTAAGATTGATTTTTAGTTTATAACTCATCGATAAAATCATTTCCGACGCTGTAAAGAATATATATTTCTAAACAGGGTAAAATTCTGAAATTCCTAAATTTGACTCTTGTAACGTGACCGTCACGACACAAGTTAATGTCAACCCACCTCAATATTTAGTAGTGAATAACATCTCACTCTAAACCTAAGCCGGTATCATTACCTGCGTTCTTCAACTTCATTGTTTAATGCAATGACAGACAATTTCCTTGAAGTATACAATAATTCTCATTCCATTTATAGTACCATACGGATATATGTTCCACTTTTCCATGCCGAAGTGGTCGACCTCGAACGTTAACGAACTACGCGTGACGAAGATGTGTGGCTTGTCCGCAGTCTCGTATAATGGTGAATGTTAACAACGGTTCGGCCTCGCTCATCGCCAGCTCCCCGCTCTTTGCCAGCTCCCCGCTCTTTGCCAGCTCCTCGCTCTTAGCCAGCTCCTCGCTCTTAGCCAGCTCCCCGCTCATAGCCAGCTCCTCGCTCATAGCCAGCTCCTCGCTCATAGCCAGCTCCACGCTCATAGCCAGCTCCCCTGTTCATAGCTAGCTCCCCCGCTCATAGCTAGCTCCCTCGCTCATAGCCAGCTCCCCGCTCATAGCTAGCTCCATACTAATAACCACTTACTACTAACCGAACCCTGACAAAACTCGAACCCTGAAAACCCCGAGCCGCCGACCAACAACGAGCCGACTGTATCCTGCCGATCACCAACGAGCCGACGGTAGCCAGCCGATCTTCAACGAGCCGACGGTAGCCAGTCGATCTTCAACGAGCCGACATCAGCTAGCCGATCACCAACGTGCCGACATCAGCTAGCCGAGTATCTTCAAGCCGACTGTATCCTGCCGATCACCAACGAGCCGACGGTAGCCAGCCGATCTTCAACGAGACGACATCAGCTAGCCGAGTATCTTCGAGCCGACAGTAGGCAGCCGATCACCACCGAGCCGACATCAGCTAGCCGAGTATCTTCGAGCCGACTGTATCCTGCCGATCTTCAACAAGCCGACATCAGCTAGCCGAGTACCTTCGAGCCGACTGTGGCCAGCCGATCTTCAACGAGCCGACACCAGCTAGCGGAGTATCTTCGAGTCGACTGTAGCCAGCCGATCTCCAACGTACCGACAGCAGCTAGCCGAGAATCTTCGAGCCGACTGTAACCAGCCGTACACCTTCGAGCCGACCACAACAAACGCGAATACCAACCAGCCGATTAGTTACGAGCCCACATCACTTAACCACCCCCGAGCCGACTGTAACCAGCTTGCTATTTACGATCCAACCCCCATACCCAGCTACCATTACCGATTAGAAGACTCTAACATAAAAGCTTATTTCACATCCAAACTATTATTCATATTGTAAACACCAGAGTATTATAATAAAGATTGAAATTGTAATCACTCGTGTTTTTACTTAAGGTTTGTGGGTCCTTAGGTTGACCCTGGCAGCGACTGAGCTTACTTCTGCCTTAGTTAAAACCACTCGTTATACTCTTTGGTGCACCATTTGCGAATGTATTTATTGGAGCTAGATTTAAATCTGAACCAATTTCAATAAAACTTGGCACACGTTCGGTTATCCGAAACTTCAGTACGTTGTACAAAATTTCGTGTCAATCGGCCTAAATTTGCCTCTTTGGTGCATCATTTACTAAAAATCGGACGAGAATATAGATGGGAGCTATATCTAAATCTGAACCGATTTCAATAAAACTTGACACACGTTAGGATATCCCAGCTTCAGTGTGTTATGCAAAATTTTGTGCCAATCGGCATAAATTTAAAAATATATATGGGAGCTATACGTAAATCTCACCCGATTTCAATTTCAAAATTTGGCACACGTTTCTTTCCTAATTTATGTACATTGTGCAAAATTTTGTTCCAATCGCCCCAAATTTTTCACTTTGTTAAAAATCGGACGAAAACTATATATGGGAAATATATATGAACCGACTCCAATTTAAATAGGGTTCATCCTTAGGGCTAATAAAATATCTATGTCAAATTTTATCTCATTCGGACAATAAATGCGACCTGCACTTTGTTAACAATTTAACATGGACAGACGGACATGCATAAATAAACTCAGAAAGTGATTCTATACATATTCTCAAAAGGAACCATGGGTCTATCTCGTTTCCTTTTGCCTGTTGCACACATATGCACACTGTGGTGAAGGGTATAAACAAAAAATTCGAAATTTGTCTAAAAATCCTCAAGATTCCAAAAATGTGGGCAGTTATATTGTTTTTCCTGCTAAGATTCGGACCCCTTTTCAAAATATTTCACTGAAATTTCATAAAATGTATTTATTAATTTGTTTCAATTTACAAAAATTTATATTGATTGAGGTTTTTAAAATATAGATGACAGTGCTGACAGATTTCAGATGGAGGACATACATTTTATAGATGACAGCCAGTTAATAATAAAAAAAGAGGACGTATGGTCACCTTATCAAAAAGTTTATTTTCTTTTATAGAAACTTAATTTTACAAATAAAGCAAGTGATAAAATCCGGAGGATGGAAGCTATTATTCTTACCGACACCAAATACTCCACTTACAGGTTCTTTAATAACTCAGTTGCTTTAAAGACTTCAAATAACATGATGAAGATATACAAATACTGGAAAGTAGCTATTTTTTACATAAAAGGGTCTTCTCAATAATGGTATGTATTAAATATTTTGTAATTAATGGTGCCACCCTGTTATAGCCACATATGCTTATATAACGACAATAACGGCGGTTTATGCCTATACTTACCGCTACACTACAGCGGCATCTATATGTGAATACATATATGATGCAAATACATAAGATAGCACATTTGCAAAGACATAAAAGTATAAAGATAGGACAATTGATACGTAAGCAATTTCCAACAGATGGCTTTTCCTCTGTTGTTACGATATCATAACAACAGAGAGAACAATATTAAACGTTTTTAATGCTATATCTTAAGCTTATAAAATGAAAATACATATTTTGAGTGCAGGCTTCTAATTTTATTTACATTTTATTCAGACATTTTCGCGAATTGGCGTTTTTATTCTTAACATGCCTCTGTTAACCTTGATTCCCCCTGGATATTTTTTCATAAACTATTTTGCCAAAATGCATTTTGTCGAGTCTTTACGGTTTCTATGTCTTTGACATTTGTTAGTCCCGAATAAAATATAGATGTCGGTGTGGTATAACATTATGGCACTATATGGTGGCATAACATTATGTTAATTTTTGAGTGAAATAATTGTTATATTCTCTGAAATGCACTGGAGTTTTGACAAAAAGGCAATTTCGTAGAGACTTTCATCATAGTCTAATCATAGACTAATGTAGATATAGACGACGAAATACTCAAATAATGCGCAGTCAAGTGACTCAAAACAAGTGAAAAAGCGTTAAGTTCGGCCGGGCCGAACTTTGGATACCCTCCACCATAGAAATACTGAAAAATTTTTGAAATGAAAATATAGGGAATATACATATAATTACAATTCTACCAATCGATTGTTGTAAACCAAATAGACATTTCAGCAAATTCAATGGGGGTTTTCCTTAAAATCTCAAAACCCCAAAATGTTGACATATGGTGTGTATAAAATCCATAGTAGTGTATATATATGGTGGCTATCAGAAAAAGTGTAAAATGAACCTATATTTATAATTTTTGGTGGGGAGATTTCCTACCCAATCAGAACTCAAAATACCAAATTTCAACGAATTCGGGATCGAGATCAAGAACCTCAAAATACCGAAAATTGGGGGTTACCCTTATATGGGAGCTATACCTAAACGTGAACCGATATATCCCATTGGCGATCTATCTCAATTCGTTTAGACGCTAGAGTGATTACAACAGACAGACAGACAGATGGACATGGTGATCAGCACAGTCGGCGCTAACAGGTAGTATGACAAATTTTTCAACAGAAAATACTGTAATTTGGTATTTTGAATTCACATTGAGCAACAAATTGTCCTACTATTTTTTACGATAGCTATTGGGGATTATGGACCCCTTTTTTAACCGAATTGGTTTTAATTTATTTCTCATTAGGTTCAAATCGTCCTACCAAAAATGTACTGTAAATAAATATATCACTTATTAAGAGAAAATCCTTATTTTTGATGGCGGGCATGATAGCTCCGAAAAAAAATCCGAAAATCCAAACGACATTAGAAAGATTACATGCCTTTAGAGTTATTGACTTCGCACAAAAATTAACAAAATTACGAACCCCGGAATACCAAAAGGTGGATCAAGGGTGACAGAGAAACGTGTTAAAATTTGGAATAGATTGAATTATTAGTTTTTGAGTTATCGTGCCCGCCATTCGTAAAACGCGCGTTTGAACCTTGGGAAAAATTTAACAATTCTATATTTTCAAGAATTGTTAAATTTTTCACTTTAAATTTTATAGGGACCTTCTTGAATTACTGTTGGTTCGAATTAAGCGATTACAGGTATTTAAAATGTCGACCTCATGGTGGAGGTATAAAATGCTCGGGTCGGTCGAATTTAACGATGTTTTTTTTTGTTTCAGAAGTTATCGATAAAAGTCAATGTTTTGTGTGGTCCCATTTAAAAGGTCCTGTCTCCTTTTGTAGTATTTTAAAGGCTTTAAATTTGGCTCCTCGGGATCATGGAGTTCGAGTTTATTTATACCCTTCACCACACTGTGGTACAGGGTATTATGTCTTTGTGCATATGTTTATAACAGGCAAAAGGAAACGAGATAGACTATGGTTCCTTTTGAGAATATGCATAGAATCACTTTCTGAGTCGATATATGCATGTCCGTCCGTCCGTCCGTCTGTAGATGTTAAATTGTAAACAAAGTACAAGTCGCATTTATGATCCGATTTGGATGAAATTTGGCACAAATCACTTATTTGGCCCAAGGATGAACCCTATTGAAATTGGGAAAAATCGGTTCAGATTTAGATATAGCTCCCATATATATTTTCGTCCGATTTAAGGTAAATGGGGCACCATAGTCCCTCCATATCTTTCGATTTGCACAAAATTTGGCACAGAGTGCCGCATTAGGTCCAGAATGATTTGTGCCAAGTTTCGAGAAAATCGGTTCAGATTTAGATATAGCTCCCATATATAGTTTCGTCCAATTTAAGGTAAATGGTGCACCAAAGTCCCTACATATC